TTGGAGCTGTTGTTCTGGCTTCAGACTATATACCTGAAAACCAAAATTATAATAATGTTGTGTTGTTACTTACATGCATATGTGAGTTTCTTAGAACATTTATATATATATATATATATATATATATATATATATATATATATATATATATATATATATATATATATATATATATAATGATAAATACTATACATGCATATTAAATGTTACATCAAAAAGAGTTTTATAGATAGTTTATATAAGTTTGTGTAAAATCAATATGTTTCAACTGAAGTCCTAGCATTCATTCAGTGGAAAACAAGCTAAGCATATAAACAATACTATTCTTATAAAATATTATTTAAAAATGCTTACAATTTAATCAGAATCTAATAATGAATAAAAACGACAATATTAATTCGTAGTATAAAAATACATTTAGTAAGATATTGTAATATGAAAATTAGAAAAAAAAATCTAGGACTCATAACAAAAAAAATTGTACACTCTGTACAATGCTAAGATTACAATGAAATTTTTTTTTATTTTTGAGTTACATAGATAAGTTAATACTGCATCTATATCTAATGTTTATCGAAGACTTACAAACACCAACATTTTATCAAAAAGTTCAAAGCGTTGTTAAGTATTTAAGATTTTCATAAATAAAGTTTAGTAGTCAAAATAAGTATAAAGAATCAATTCCAAACTAAAAATGTTGTACGTAAAGTATTTATGTATATAAAGTATAAATACATCAACTGAAAAACATTTGTATAATTGAAGAAAAATGTTTATATAATTGATAATATTAACATGAAAGCAAAAAATATGATAAAACAAACTATGCCAAGAAGTACAAAATTACCGAATATATTTAATAACAATGTGTAAATATGAGAGTTAGTAAAACACAGTAATAGAAACCCCATTTTATAAATTTAATTTAATTATAAAAAACTATCTTTATAAATACATTATATATAAACATATTATATATAAACAAATATAAAGCAATACATTGAGATATATCAATAGCAATGTGTACAAATGTACTTACCTGTGCCAGAAGCTTTTGTGGACTAGCAGTGCGAATAAAGCTTGAAATATAAACATTCACAAATGTAGCCATTAAGAATTGACAATCAAATCTGTCCATGATTCCACCATGCCCAGGTATTACATCCCCAAAGTCCTACAAAATATAATTAATTAATTAATTAATTTACTATATGATTATTATATAATAAAAACAAACCTTAATTTTAAAGGCTCTCTTAAAACCAGAGGCAAAAAAGCCACCAAATGGTCCTATAACTGAACTAAATACACTCATTGACAATGAATGTAATAAAAATGGATACATGTTGATATTGCTTTTAATTCCCATCTAAAACAAATTTCAAATTGAATATACGTAATATTATGGAAAAAAACTCACATATATAATGATGTATTAAGAATTCTCAGAATACTCACCCACGATAATGAATATTCTTGTGGTCTAAATATTGGGCTGGGTTCACATTCCATTGACATCCTTCCAAGAGTTTCACTATATTCGATTGGACACACAAAATATGTGTATTGACACATAATATAGGAAAGCTAAAAATATGTTGTTAAAAGTTGTGAATCATATTTACATAAAACATGATAAATTATATGTTACTTAATAATTTCATCAAAAATAGCATCTAATATGTAAAAATAAGACATTGTTCTTTAATAATAAAATTAATCAAAATTTGATTCTACATAATATTTTTTTTTATTTTTCATTCAAAATCTCACCAGTAATCCAAACAACACTGTTGAAATACCTCCACCAATGAATCCTTCCCATGTTTTCTTGGGACTTAGTTTGATCAAAGGAGTTTTACCAAAAAAGAATCCAAAAACATATGCCATAACGTCATTACACACAATCATTGATACTGGCACAATAAGCCAAATCAGACCTAAAAAATAAAACTATGTGTACATGTATAAATATATATGCATGTGATTTTTCAATAAGCAAAAACTACATTAAATCTTTTCAATGGACCAATACTGTATCATGTATAACTCATGAAATAAAACGGAGTAAATGTTCAATTGATGTGGCTAGTTTCAATATTAAAAATTTATATAGAGCTGATTTTGCACAAATAATGAGTTATATACTACTCCATAAAGAATTGAACAATATTATATTTTATTTATTTATTTAGTGATATATTACTGGGTATTAAACAATTGTGAATATAAAAGAAAATAAAATGTTTTATGCTTTACCAAAGTTTATGCTTTGATGACATGCATGAAAAAACTGAATCGATATTATCATTTATAACCTCATAAGTTTCAATATTGTTAAACTAAATCATTTTTTCATGTGCAACCACTACGTTTTTGTATACTATGTTTCAATGCAGGTATATACAGTAACATATTTTTTGTTCAAATTTTTTTCATAATGAGCTTTGAAACATACACGCAGATAAAAAAAGTTGAGAATTTTATATAAAATTGATGAAAAATAAAAATCAACTGAGAATAACATGCTTAAGTATAAATTGCCAATACAAAATTAATGACACTATTCTTACCTTCAAATATATTCTGAATAATTAAATAAGATTGTGTAACAACTATCAATAAAGCAACATGAGTCCATGCGAATAAGCTGAATTGCTTCATATAATACTTTTTCACTAAAGAAAGAACGAACCATACAAATCCAATGCAATATAAACAAAATGACAAAAACCTGTGATACTTCACTAAAAACTGCAGAAAATCCTGCAAAAATTTATAATTTCATTATTTATAATAATTTAGGCACACAGTAACTCTTAAATCTATATCACATTATTTATATTGATTACTTACTGTTCTACTGATTAAAACTCCAAAATAATCAACTAAATTTTCACCATAGAAAAAGTAATTTGAAGTTATTAAGAAATACCAAGACAAGCTTCTAAACCATGGTAAACCATGAATTCTGTAGACCAGGTATCCAATATTTATAATCTCCTCAAAACATTTCACTTGAACTATTAATGTCTACAAAAATGTTTAAATCAGTATAATTAGGTGAAGTAAAAAGAAGCCTATTTCACTTACAGTGACCATTAATGCTAATGGTCCTCCATAAATTATCAAGCAAAAGCCTCCAATCATTAGCCATGTGAAAATACCTCTGATCACCCAATTCCGCCATCTACAATAAAATATGACTATGATATTTATAAAATTAAATTTGCTATAGCGCAACAGTTTCTGAAACTTTATCAACATTAGTTTCTTATGACAAAATACACCAAATAATATAATACAATATGAAAGTGTGATTTATGTTTATAACCTATATATATTTTTTCGAGTTATAATATATATATACATATATATATACATACATATATATATATATATATATATATATATATACATATATATATTGGCGAGATATCAAGGATTGACTGCAAACATTAAAATTCAATATATATATATATATATATATATATATATATATATATATATATATATATATTATATACATATATCACAATTCTTATCAAATTGATTTGGAACCAACGAAACTCTTATCAATGATAACATTGATTATCTATTCAGGATATTACTTATGCGGAAATAAATATATTGTATAAAATACTGAAATAAATACCTAGCAGAAAGACCAGCCAGAGCACTGTCCAGAACTTCTGGTGTCTTGTCAGTACCCTGGGGCAAGTCTGCCGATAATTTGTTAACATATAATTCATCAGGAGTCCTTTCTTCTTCTGAATCTATCTGTATTTAATATTATTACGTTATTAAATATAACACTGTTAATCTAATTAAGGCAACAATGAGTTACATGGTCTGACGATTCTGATATTATTTCTTCATCGCCTTTGCGTTTTCGTATTTCCGACATATTTTATTCTGATATCGATGTTACTGGCTTAAATAAATTCTGGTTTGATAACTCTTGCACAATATTTTATATTATCAGTGACATTTGCACGAACAACAAACACACTCGTAGTATCAGTTTCTAAATGACTGTCAAAATTCAAATCAATAACTGTTCGGGACAATACGTGTACGATCGTGATATTCACGAAGAAAGATTAACATTTTGACGTTTCAAGCCCGAGAACAAAATGTCTGAAGTCATGAACATCACATCTGTCAACACTAGCTATGTTTTCTAGACAACCCAGACTTCAATCATAATATTATTGTCTAATAATGTTGATTATCCTAGGCAATATGACAATATAATATATTCGTATATTCATGAAAGATTATCATTTTTATTTCAATTGAGGCGTCCTATATTTTTATGCAGCTGTCAAGTTTATTCATTATTACATATGAAATTCGTAAAATTCATAATAAATGCAAAATTAACTGCGAAATCGCTTCGACCACTCTAGACAAATCCAATTAGAGTATATTACTTAAGTATTTACATAGCAATGTGTAAAACATTAAGTAATCATTTTAAAATCAGACGTTTGTTGAAGTCATGCTTTCATATCCATGGTGCTTTCTGTAAGGTGTTTATTCTACTTAAGCAGTTGACAATTTTAGTGTTTTGTACAAATAAATTTAAATAATATTTATATAATTTACTCATACTATGTGATATTCATAAAATATTCTCGTGCTTTTCAAGCTTCAATTGAGTAATATGTTTGAATATTTTTTAAGTTTGATTTATTACTACAAATTTAAAATTGTCTGAATGAGAATTATGAATTTATAAATTTCTCGTCCCTATTTATATTGGACGAGTGTTTGTGAAAAAGCATAGCAATTGAATAAAGTATTATTAAACCGTTAACTGTAAACTCATATTTTTTTGCATGATAATATGAAATATAAGAAACAGAGTTCACACACCTGTGTGAAGTTTAGTTGTGCAATTGTATAAAGTATAATATGTAAATATGACTATTTATTAAATTTAAAAATTATTAGAGTTATATTAACAAATATGTACATTTTGTTTAAACATAGTATCAAAATGCTAGTCTAGATTCTCCTGTGATTAGTATCTGATCTACCATTTTTGCTCTCTGCTTTAATAATTCTTTAGATTTTTCATCTAATCGTCCAGATGTCTTATCTGCTACCAGAAAATGATGTAGAAATAATCGCAAACTTTCTCGAAACATTTTCAGCTTAGGTGATTTAAGAATCCTTTCAAATATGTGTTTAATAATAGCTTCTGATGGATTCAATAAAATTCCAAATAATATTTGTCGTATCAGTCTTAACTCTCTTGCTTGCAGTTCACTAAAATCTATTATCTAAAAAAAATGAATAAAAAATATTAGATTATTCTTTAAATTTCTTAACTTTAAATCTTATTTATCTGCTTTTACAGACCTTAAGAACACACAAGGAGAGTCCATTTTCAATCAGCAAATGTATCATAAATTTTCCTAAGTGACTTATTTGATCGTTTGTTAATGTGCTAAGATCTCTAATTTTATCCCATAAACTGTATTGAAATGATATCTAAAAATAATATAAATATGTTTATTTGTCCAAATCTAAAAAAACATACTTTATTCGATATAATTACTCGGTATTTCCTATCTAAATCACAAAATTTTTGTGCCAATAAAGAATAGTAAGGATTGTATTTCTTTTCTTGCAAACAGCAACTTAGAAGAACATGAACCAGTTCCTGTTCTTGAGAACCTTTCAATCCTAAATGTAATACTTTTTCAAATGCATTTAAATAATCCTGTAATAAAAGATATTGTTTTTCAATAATGTAATATTCTTAAACGGTACAATTAACTGGAATTAAACAATGAATGATTATAATGATTGTACTGTATAATACTAACCTCGCCGCTCATTATGGCACAAAATATATTTTTCCTAATTTCAGTATTCATCCCTTGTTTTCTAGCTAGTTCAAGTAACTTTTCACTATAGGCATTATTACTACTACTGGTATTATCAGAGTTCTGAGTATTGTTTTTGCCACTTCCAGACCAAGCCGATCCAACAGACCACCACCTACCATGTACATCAGCTACACATTTAAAAATTTCAAATTAAACATTTAAAAATATATGTTATCCATTCAAGTAAAATACAATAAGTTTATTATTATAAAAATTAATTCAATGTATAATTAATTAATGTTAATTAATGCCTTGTTAGCATTTCAACTGATAGTTTAATTGAATACTTGCATATTTCAGGTGTATCACCAATTATTATTTTATACTATACAAGAATAACTTTCAAAAATAAGTTTGCAAGTAATTGACTTACCATTTATCATGTCCTGCAGGCTAACATTCAATGTAGTTACGTAATTTCCTTTCCTATAATAGTTTCTAACCACTTTTATCAAATTACTGAATAGAGTGGGATCGTATGATGGAATTTTTGACACATTATTATTCTTTATTGCTAATAATACATCAACCAAAAATTTTACTCGAGAACTGGAAATAAAAATGAAGTTGATATTTATAATGCAATGTTGAAATGTATATATATATATATATATATATATATATATATATTTATAACATATATTTATAAATTATTATTGCATGATTCATATATAATTAATGTTTTTGATAAAAAAACATCAAAACCAATAAATTGCAATAACAAAAAAGACAAATAATTTAACTTAAAAAATATGATTACAATTGCATATTATCATTATTATAAATTCAATGCAATTCATAATTTATGATCTAATAGTAATGGATAAAATAATGAACTTATATGTTCATAATAATATTAACTTATTTCCTGAGTTTGAAATAGCTTTATTAGCAGCAGCTTGTAGTTTCAAAATTAGTTCTTTAAGATCTCCGGGATTTTCTTTACGTAGCAAAAATCCACAAACTCTTAGGATAATAAGTATACAATCCAATCTTTTTTCATTAAGATCCTCTGATAGCAGTTTCAGAATGTCTAAGAGCAAAAGACTAGAGAATATCTAAATAAATAAAATAAAATAAGTTATCTCAATTTCATTAATTGATTTAATGAAATATAAATACAAATTATTACCTTAAAATTATATAAATGACTTAATACTGCTGTTATATTTTCTGTTTTTTTATTCTCAATTGGAAGTTCTTCTGATAATAAGGTATTAAATTGCTTAACAGCATTTTGCAAGTAGTAAGCCCCTAAGAAAATTAAAATATGTATAATAAATAACTTCATAAAGATTAAAATAAAATATTCCAACTATTGGAAAAATATTAACTTTACAGTTACAAGAAATGTGAGGAGCTACATAGTTAGCTTATACCTATGTCTGATCCCACATTAGCATGTAATACTGAAATCAGCATTGCATGATGCGCTATCATTATGTCAGGCACAGAATTCACGTTTACTAAGAACTCGAGGGAAAGGTTTGCTAATGTGTCATTTGTGTCATGATGGCTGTTAGATCGGTAAACATTTTCTATTTCTGATGAAATACTATGAATATTTTGCTCTGTTAGCTTATTCAATAGCCCTGAAATAAATAAGATATTTTATTTCTATGCATGTCATGAATTAGTTAATTGGCCTAAGTTATTGATATTAAACACAAACCTTTAATTTGTCGTTTCAACCGTTGCAACTTCTCTGATTGTTCTCCTGACAACATACGAGCTCTAACTTGTGGTGGTATATATTTTGTGTTTTCCTATTATAAAAATTAAAAATAATCTACTTATTCATTCATTAATTATAATAGGCTATTTAATCTATCAGTATGATTAAAATAAGAAAATAGAATATATTCTGAATAAATTTAGCTAATATCTGTACAAGGCAAGCAATAAATTAAACAAATCTTTTATTTTACAAACATCTTAACTGTACATGCAACTGACCTGCACAATATTTCCTTGCTTATCTCTTTTCCTCCCATAAATATCTTCCTTAAAATCGTTTTGCTCATTCATGCTGCTATTGCTGTCAGAATCGCCTGAATTTTCAGATACATGTGCTTCCCTCAACAATTTTTGTGATCTTTTTGATTTCTTTTCTATACAAGTAAAACTATTATGGTAAATTTTAAAAATAAACTAATAAAATGTAATAAGTACTCACGAATGCACTTTCCAGAAACAGCCATTTCATCATCTGAAAAACTATTTTCACTATCATTTGATTCCAAAGCACTAAGATTATACTCTAATGTACTTTCATTCTTAGACTCTTCACAGTCATCTTCCGAGTCCATAGAATATACATCAGATTGATTTTCACTATCGTCAAGTCCAGAATTTTCATCTTGGTTCTCAAATTCAGAATCTGTGGTAATAAACATCTTCAAATTAGGAAATTGTAATCATTAGAAAAATAAAAGTATATGTAACACATTCTAAGTAAAATTGATTATCACCTTTGTCATTTTCACTATTAAATCCAGTACTTGAATTGTTGCTTATTGATGATTCTTCATCGCTCTGAAGAAAGTTGTCATCGTCTAATTCATCAAAGTTTTGAAGATTTACTAACTGTTTCTCAGTTTTTGCTTTCTGGGCCAATACATTTGAATCACATAATTCTAAAACATCTAACAAAATAGATGACATTAATATATATATATATATATATATTTTTTTTTTTTTTAAATATGTTATATTGTTTAATTAAATTGAATATGGAGAAAAAAAATTAAATTACAAATACAAGTAATGTAATAAAAATTCTGTGATAATGTAAATAATACTATACTTAATATAAATAAAGCAATTAAATATGTAATGTAAAGGATATTATGCGATGCAGATATAATTTCTCATCTGGTGTTTTCAAATTTAGTTTTTACAAAATTCATACAATATTTTATGAAGTATTCAAATATTATTATCAAGATTATATCAGTAAAATCTTGACGAAATTTTAATAAACTATATTAGTGGATTAGTGGTAACTAAAAATTGGACTAGAGAAAATAGAACAATGTAACATTATCATATTATTTGTGACAAAATTATTCATTATATATATTCGTACACTAGGGATCAAAAAATACTTTGCCGAAGAAACGATACCTCTAAAATGAAGTCTGATGTCCCAAAGATTGGGTCAAATTTTGAAAAATCCTGGCTCAAATTGGCTCATTTAGAGCGCTCCAACAGCGTCCAAATGTATGACCGACCTCCAGTAACTTTGGAAAGTCGATCTACCCATGCCCATGGTTCATCCCCTGGGATCTCCCTTTAGAGGTCCCCCATAAAAAAGTTGCATCATTTTGGGTACTTGAACTGACAAAAATCAGTGATTTATTTTTATTATAAAATTTATTTAACCATAACATATGTAAATAATACTATGTAAAACTTATAAATTATTGTATGAAGTCTTTTTTTAAGTCTGAAAAATTTTGCACGGCTCTCTAATATCGTCGCCTTAACAGCCTCTAGCTAGCAAAGAAACGCAGAGACAAAATGCATTGGAAAAATTGGAACAAAAAATTTTAATATTTTTTAAAAGTTTAAAAAACATTTTTTACTAAGTAAAATACCAAAAACGATTATTTTGTGCAATTTTTGTATGAAAGACTTCTAAGAGGAGGTCCCAAGAGGTAAACCAAAGACATTAGTGGATCGGCCTTCCAAAGTTAGTTGGGGTTTGTCATACATTTGGACGCGATTGAAGCATTCTAAATGGGTCAAAACAGAATTATTCAAAATTCAACCGCTACCTTTGGGTCAATGCACAGGACATCAGAATTCATTTTAGAGGTATCTTATTTTGATCCCTAGTATCTGAAAATCATATGTGCCTAAGCAACTTTTAAATCCACCCGCCCTAATATATATGTGTATATATATATATCTATATATATATATATATATATATATATATATATATATTCTGAGTGGATAATAGATATTAATTTGGAAATATGAACAAACAACACTTTTTTTGCACTAATTTATGAAATAATAATTTTCACAAACGTTTTGAGACTAGGTTTGTCTCATCATCAGTGTGTTATAATTTAAAATTTATATTATTATTATTTAAATAATTATTATTTAAATTTATTATAATTTAAAATTCAGTATATCGAGCGACTTGTAATGCTAATTTAGGTTTCCATATTTTAAATACACTGATGATGAGACAAACCTAGTCTTGAAACGTTTGTGAAAATTATTATTTAATAAATTAGTGCAAAAAAAGAGTGTTGCTTGTTCATATTTCCAAATTTATATATATATATATATATATATATATATATTATAAGAAAAAAACATCTGAAAATCATATGTGCCTAAGCAACTTTTAAATCGACCCGCCCTAATATATATATATATATATATATATATATATATATATATATATAAGAAAAAAAACAAAAATAATTTTACATGCATAATTATTATGATTAATCAAACTTGTAGACACATTGTGGAAAGTCAACCATTAAAAACTATACTTCAAAACTATAAATTTAAAAAACCAACTGACTTACAATCAAGACCATCTTCAGCAAATGATTTAGGTATTTTTTGTTTATGTTTCAAGTTTAATTGCTTTTCAAGTTTCTTGATACTTTGATCTTCTAGTTCATTAGCTTCTTGCAACTGCTTTTTTCTGTTCTTCATCATCTCATTTTCTAGACTTTTATGATAACTTTTCTCTTTGTTAATGTCTCTAATGACATCGTTTACAAATAAAGATTGTTTCTTCGTAGATTTAGTGGACTTCTTAATATCCGAATTTCCCTTCTTCTGTTTTTTGTCATCCTTAAATAATTATGTACATTAATGGACAATTGTTTATTACAAAATACTATAAATGACATGAAAGATAAATACGTTTTCCCTTGTTGGATTCTTGGGCACATTATTTTTTATAGTTGTTGGGTCCTGATTTTTTTTATTTTTGTTAGAATAATACACATTTCTATTAACTTTTTTCTGTTGCCTCTTTTCTTTACGTGTTTCTTTCCTGGTTTTTCTGAGTTTGTTTTTGGTTTTATCTTTTTTGTTACGAATAGAGCCCATAGTTACAGCTAATAATAAATTATTTATTATAATTATTTTGTTTGAGAATGTTAATAACTACATAACTTTTTGAGGTTATGACATCATACAGCATGGTACTAAAAACACGTTTTTAGTTTCACCGTATTGACAGCCAGTTAACGAAATTGTTTATGTTTGCAAAGCGCTAATGCGGATAAAGTTATAACTAGTACATGTTTTGTGTCTGTGTTGTTCTATGGTGTTGTTTCTCTATGAAGTACAGCTAGCAAAGTAAGCAACCTAATTCATGAGATTCTGCCATGATTCTACTGGATTACTGGATTCCAACCATATTCCAACTCTCGTTTCCGTATCAAATTCTCATAATTATGAAGCGTATTAAATCGTATGTTTCAAGTTATTCTGAATCGTTTTACACCAAAATTGGAAAAGATATGTGCGTGGTGTGCGTGTATGTGTATGAGAGCCAAATTGCGACCTTTCAACGGCTTTCTTCCAAAAACGCCTGCACCGATTTCAAAAATTAAAAGACGTTTGATGAAACTCGATAAGGAGGAGAAGGATAGTTTTGAAGTAGCAGGAAAGTGAAAAATTTTTAGTTGACGTTTTCAAAAAAAATGTGAACTGATTTTGAAAATTTAGAAGTTCGAATAATATCATAATAATATCATCATTTTTTGATAAAAATCGATAATTTTTTTTATTTTGAAGAAAGTATTTGTAGATAATTCATTAAAATATATTAGTTAATTTGAGTAAATGGAATAATTTAAAAATGGAAGATATTAAAATAAGTCATTTTGCTTACATTTTCCAACAGTTTTAAAAAATATTGAGTTGGGTTACCAAATTTGAGTGAAATTTCTAGATATTTTATTAATTTTGATTTTTTTTTGATATTTTAAATTTTTGGTTGGGTTTAAGCAATTTAGAAAAACACTGTAAAATAGATGTAATGTCGAAATGATTAAAACTTTATAAAACATTTCTGCAAACATTGGTTTTTGTCACCACCATATTTTATGTAGTTTCTAATAAAGCCACTTCAGCTATCACCTTAGACAATATACTAATAAGTTTACAGCGCAGTATAGAAACACCAACTATCTGTTGCCATTATATTCACCATATTTTTTATAATAAATCTATTAATATCAAACGTCGTATTTTATTTAATCACCGATCACACCAACAGTTCCATTATAGAACAAATTTAAAAGTGTAGTGATTAAAACACATCGACAACACCCAGTTTAGACGTAGAAGTAATTTTTAAGCTTCGCGCCTTAACATTTGGTGGCTATCACTTTCTATATAAAACTAAAAGAACAATACAATGAAACTAGGATACTAATTATCTCCATTTAGCAACTAAATTTTATTTAAGAAAAATGTCAATAAAACCAATGGTTTATTTTCAAAATTTTATATAAATTGTGTATAAATATATAACATTAATATGAGGCACTTAATCAGATTTAAGGCAAGTACAACTTACAAATAAGTATTCATATACTAATATGACTAGGTGATAATTAAAACAAATTCATTAAAATATAAAAGTGAGTATTATATAATAAATCTAAATTTAAAATTAATGTTTATAATGTAAAACTAATATAGCTGAGCATGTTTTTGTATAGATCCATCTGCAGTCTTTCCTCTCAGTCTGCAAGAAAAACATAAATATTTATTTAGTTAATTATTTTATTCAATAAACTCCAAATTAAATGTTAACAAAAATTGATTTTAATCAATTTATATCAAATCTGTAATCCAGATTTGATATAAAATAACGTTATTATAATAGCTGATACAAAATCCAAAATTCAACATTTTTACGCCTGCTGCAACGATTAATGATAGATTATAGTAGAAATTACGAACTTTTAATATATTTTTCTTAAAATATTTTCTTTAAAACATAAAAGAATTGATATTTTACCTGTTTTTATAGAATTTACTACTATGGCTGACCCGTCCAACTGTGGTTTTGCCAGCATCCCACCGCTTGACTAAATACTGCATCCTACTGATGGCAATAACAGTGAAAACAGCAGTTCTGTGAATAACATACATATTAAAAATATAGTTACAAACTCAACACAGTTTTTCAATATAATAATAATTTTATTCTTGACGCCACTTATTTGAGACTTTGACAAAGTATGATTCAAATGCCAAATCCATAACAATAGTGATTTAAAATAAAATCTCATTTCCTGAAATTCTGGGTTAAATTGGTCCAAAGATTCAAAATCAATCAAATATTTATTTATTAGAAGGTGCCCGAGTATTTCCAAGTACTTGTAAGTATTGATATACCAAGAACAGAAGTTACAACCAATTCCTTATCTATGGTTACAAACATGTAATATTAGAAGTAAGACATATGATCTGGCAGTTTTAAATTTTTTACTCACATAAATACAGAACTTTCACTGTTTAGAAACTTCATTTCAATTATGTTGTTAATTTTTATTATAGAATAAATGTAGAATAAATATATTCAAACTGTAAGATTGTAAATAAAACCTTGTGTAACCTATTAAAGTAAACTTTAACAATTTTGCTCATGAAACAATAATTACAACTCGTTCAAATAGATTCAGATTGTGGAACACATAATGCCCGAATAGTTGAATTAAATTTTAGGTATCAGTAATAAAAATATTTTAGGTTTCACCTAAAATATTTACTTCTTTCTCATTGTCAGTTAGATTCAGATTGTGAAGGACATAATTATAAATTAAGTAATAGAAATATTTTAGGTTTTACTTATACTTTTAACCATGATCGTTGAAATAAATTAGTAATAGAAATATGTATTTGGTTTTACCAAAAATATTTACTTCTATTTGAAATATTCAGATTCAGGTCAATAATACCTTAGTCGTTGAATTAAGTTAGGAACAAAAATATTTTAGATTTTACCTAAATTTTTGTATTGGTGACAAATTGCGTTTCTTTATTGTCATATTCAATCCGGCGATCGCTTTTCTTTCAGCAACTTCATAACTTTTCTGGACACGCATCAAATAATCTTTCTGCCAAGTCAACGCCTTTCGGTAACTTTCGCTCCTCATGCATTTCGTAAAAAAATGGTTCACCTATAACATATTTATATTTTAATTATAATAATATTGGAATAATAAATACGTCTAAAATTAGTGATATACAAAATAATTAATTTACATGCATTTAATTACATTAAAATGTATTTTTGTTTCCAATCAAACAATGCAAAATAAGAACAATTCTAAACATGATTTATGTTTAAGAGTTTGAGTAGCGGCATTGGGAGGGCATGTCGGCAATAAATGCAAAAACCTAAACAATTACTTCACCGTTGTTAAACATTTTCTTTTGCAACTTCAGGTATTAAAATTCTTAATATCACTTTTTAAGATTTGTGAAAATCTAGTTATAATACTCTCCCCTCCGTTATCCCTGAAAATTTCATTTCGTAGGCTTTTCCGCTTCCCAACATTGCGCTAATCATCTACTCTGGCTATTGGAAGAATGCATACCTTTTACTTTAAATTTATGGTTTCTTTAAAGTGTCCGATTTGTTAATGTTGTATGTTTCTTTGTCGTTTGAAGTTGTTCTGAATGGTTTGGCACCAAAATTCGAGAAAATGTGGGAATTATGTTCGACTTTCGTTGACGTAATTATTAGATATGTGTAAAAATCTTTTCGTCAACGTTTACACCAAAAATCCTGTCTTGGTTTTATAAATTTAAAAACGTTTCGTAGGATATCATTTAAAAATCGTATCGTTTTTTGTAATTAATTAAATTGAATTTTTGAAAAAAAAAGACAATTTGAAGTATGATGATAGAGTTCAGGAATCCAACGAAAATTATACAATGTTATAGGCCTGCGGAAAGTGGCTTAATAATGAACATTAAGAAGACATACACCGTATATGAATCAAACGCGTGTACGTGCAATTAAATAATTGATGCGTATTATCAACTTCCCGTAGGATAGTTATAGTAATGGGCCGAAAATCGAAAATGAAATTTTTTTGCATTTCTCGACGTTTTGAAGGTTTCTGAACATTTTTGCATACCCCAGAAAAAATGAATGTGTGTGTGTGTTTTGTATGTCTGCATTTTTCCGTCCACGTTTTCGGGCGCACGGATCAACCGATTTGAATGGTTCAAAAAACATTCGATTTCTATTCATAGGGGTCCAGCAGGTCCAGTCGTTACGGAGATACGGAGCAAAGAGTGCAGAAAATACAAATCGCGTTTTTGAGAGAACGGAGTATCCTATTTGAATGATCTAAAAAACATTCAATTTGTTATGATTGAGAGAAGAAGTGATTAGTTTTTAGCAAAGGCTGGTCCAGCCATTTCGAAGATACAGAGCTAAATGTGCAAAAAATGAGAGAACTAAGCGTCCGATTTGAATTATTCAAAGAACTTTCTGCTTGTTTCAACAAAATAATTGCTTCTGGAAAAAAAATTGTTTCTAATTTTTTTTAATTTTCAGAAAAAAAAAATTTTTGTATATCGAAAATAATTCAGATTTTAATTTTAATTCTTTTCTAATATACTTTAAATAAATAATTTCAACTTTGCAATTCAGTTTATATAATTCTTATGAATATTAAACAATGTTACAATATTTATAAAAATCTATTTGAAAACACTTAATATTCATCGATCATTTCGTTACGGTATGGGAAAAGTACCAGCAATTTGCCGTAAGGCACGATGCCGTACACCACTAGTTGTAAAATATTATTACTTACACATACCGAAAAGTGTTCATGTAACTTTCATTAAGACAAAAAAGCAATTATACTATGATTACACCTAGTTACTGCCTCATTTATTTATCATCGCATGCGCATCCTTATATAAAAGTCTTACTTTTCATAGAAATTGTCGATATTATGTAAAATACCCTACGACAATTAATGGATTCACGTACAGTTAATTAGTGACCGCTAATCTAATCTGAATATTCTCTATTTGATAACCCCATTCCATCCTCATTCATTCTGGAGACACCATTTTTTGCTATCATACGGCATTGCGCATTGACAAGGATAATATTTGATCTAAATAAATAAGGGGTAACAAATTTTGCTTTTGCAAAATTCAGGAAGTTATGGATATTAGCCATTACCCTTTATAAATATAGCCCCACTTTTAGATAGACTTTCAAATTTTAGGTAGCAATTCAAATATTTCATTGTCGCGTTTTGAAATAAACAATGATGTAGTAGGCGTAGGTCTATCCAAACGTTGGTAATGGCGTTGCATTTTTGTTTATGTGGGAAAAATTTATTTTAAATTAGGATTTTTTAAATTGGTTTAAAATTAAGTTTTTAAAAACTATTACCAACAAATTATTGAAGAAAGGGGGTATAAATTTATGAAATATGTTAGATGCAACTATTATTCCGAATGCCAGGAGCATTAAAATACCTGACAATAACATGACAAATCCAATGAGGTAAGTCGAATTGACAAATATGAAATTATTTGATTAAAAGAAGTGAATTATTAACTAAACATTCACATAAAATAATAATTGCTCAATACTAGTAATAATTTGCGTATATCCGTAACCAAATGTTTCAAAATATGTGTATAATCTTTCAGTATAATCACTTCAAAAACTTCTTCAAATCAATCAAATTTAAAAGAAGATAAAAGCGAAAAGCAAGAGGAATGCCAAGTAAGATTTTTAATACTAATATTGTAGTAAAAACGATCCCAATTTTAATTTAATGCTTCAGTATTTTGGTGATTTATGTGTATACATATTTTGTATAAAAAACTATAGTTAGCATTAAATATAAATTATTTTCTAAACGTAGTTCAACAGCATACGCTTGATTCATATTAACTTCATCTAACCGTATGACACTGTAATCATATTGGTAACAAGAGAAAATATATAATCATCAAGCAACTACATAATATTAATTGTTCACCAATGAATATACTTATCTTTTTAATCAAATTAATATATTTATGAAAGATTTTGAGTAAAAAATGTGAACATATTTTGAAAATAAGTTATTGAATGAGAAAATAAAATTTTAATATAAATTCATTATTTTCTAATTATCCTCTTTATTGCAGCCACTTACACGGGTAATATCGGAGAGTAAAATTACGAACTATAGGAATAGATACAGGCCGATGTATATGGCATATGGTAAAAAATCATTTCACTTCAAATTTACTATTTTATAACTTAATTTTAAATCAATAAATTTACGTAGCATTTTTGTCATTTAATTTATGCTTGATTGGGACTCTACTAAAGTTTAAACGACGAATCAATCATAAAACTTCTCCGCGTTTCTGAGATTCTACAATTTTAACTATCTATTATCTACTATTTATTTACTACTATTACTATTTATCTATCTATATTCATGAAATCATCATTATCAATTGTAAATACGACATATTCAAGTTTTAAAAAACAGAGGCCCAAAAATTAAACAGTTATTTTCAATTTTTTAGCCACATATCTTTTGCTTAGTCGTAAATTACAACATAAATACGAAATCTTTCTTGAATATTTTGTTATGTTTCAATTAATCGATTGTGCCCGATAATAAAATTGAATATGGGATAAAGCGTCACCGATTCGGGCTTTTATAATATTATAATTCAAAATTTTATATATATTATATTTCAAAATTTGAAAATAGTGTGTGAAATTAAAAAAATGTGTAAACAATTTAAAAAAATTGTTATAATACTGATGAGCAATGTAATAAAGATATTGAATTGTAGGTATGGGTACAGAAGCACCAGAAATGGATGAAGATGAAATGACCAACTTTTTTGGATACCTGAACTCGATCAACCAAACATTGCACAGAAAACGTAACTATCATCAAAATAAATATATTTATTTCTCAACAAACCGCAATGTTTAAATATGTTAAAAATTTAGCAAGAAACATAATTATATCGCACTTTGCTATTGTTCGCTAAAAATTCTTTGCTTTAGTAATTATTGAATAACTATATACAACAAAATAATGACAACAAAGTTTTAATGTATCTATTACAATTTTTCCAATAGGCATTAAGCATTATACATCATTCACACCAAAAAGTACGGCGGATTCAACATGGTCACTGTCCATACCTCCATATTTATTGATAACTCGTCTGTTGGTTCTAATCCTCTCATATTCGCTCAAATTAACATACAAGATAGCTGAATGGTTCGCCCCGCAAATAAGGTATAACCATTACTAAGATAATTTCACCGAATAATGTGTCTTGAAAATTGTCTAAATATTCAACTTAAACAATTATGACATTATTATTAATGATGAAATTTCGAACAACTTTATTGGCACTAGTATTCCACTACGAGCGTCGCAAAATCCAGTGTATCGATTTTGCTTCAATGTTTATCACTAAGAATTTTAATTTGTTATTGTAATTATTAGTCACTTACAACAGCAATTCTTAATTTTGAAATATATTTTTATTGATAATGATTGAAAATTTTGAAAAATATGTTCTGTAAAAAACACTTCGGCGGCACTTTTACGTAATATAAAAAATACGTTTTTTGTATGTACTTTGTTATCTAATTCATTTATATTTACATATATCATTATTAATGGTAAGGTTATCCCCATATGAGTTATAAAGGTCTTCTTATGTTTAAAATCTAGGTTTTTTGCTACAAGTATACATACTAAACTATTATTGCCCCCTTATTTAATCAAATTGCTTGATAAGCACTTTTGTCCACAACATGAATAATAAATTTATAATCTTTCTTCTACTTTACAGCGGTATAGCTTATTATTTTTTCAAGATGCTTGAAAGCAAAGCTAAAAAGGGAATCAGTATGACAAACTGGCCGACTCTGATCTTTGAAATTGTAATCGCAGGAGTTATGTATATTACATATATTGTATTATTAATTATCAAATTGTTTCTAAAATTTTTCCTTACTCCTATAAGATCAAAAAGTTATACCTGAACTAAAACAGGCAAAAAATTATTGTAAATAATTCTATACAAATATATTTCATATAAATTTTATTCATTATTTTTATTTATTTTATCTTTATGCGTTTCAGCACTTTGTACCAAAAGAATTTAAAGTGTCGCACATTAATTTTTCACAAAACACATTTTTGGACTGAAAAAAGCATTTGTAGATGTCGTAAAAGATATGAAACAAAAACTATTGTTAGTGACGTTTATATTTATTTATATTTTGATATTCTATAAGGTATTATCTATTAAAATGTATTAGTCAATTCAAATAAATCGAATAATTCAAGAATAAATAAATAAGAATTAAAATAGGCATTTTGCTTACCTTTTCTAATGCATTTTGATATGAATCAAAACTGACATACTCAAGTCCTTCTAATTTATTTGGTATGTTTTTGTTATCTATTGCATGTTCTTCCAGAAAAGTGCTAACTTCCTGAAAAGAGTATTTATTTTTAAAATTTCAAACTATTTCAAACACTTATCAATCATGTGTTGAAAAAATAATATAATAGTCTAACCTTCAACTTGCTTAGTAATTCTGTAGATGTAGACATTTTTCTATCATTCAATGCTTTGCGAACAACATTTTCACATTCTATTGCACGATCCAATTCATTTTGAAGAGAAGATAAACGCGATTCTAAAAACGTAGTTTGTGTCTGAAAGGAAATAAAAATATTAAGTGCTTTTATTATAATCATCTATGCAATTGAATTTAAATCAATAGTATATGTTATTATGTATATATAATATACAAATAGTACATGTAATTGTTGATTCTTTATTGTTGTTGCTAATTGCTCTTCTTTTTCTTTCCCTCGATTTTGATTTCTTCGCATTTCTGTTAACTGTATGGTTTTCAATTGACTTTCTAAACTAGCTATACGGTCACACTGCTGAATTGATCTAAAAGAATGACAATATCAATTTATTTAAAAAATCCAGGACTTGTCTATTAAATGTATGTATATATATATATATATATATATATATATATATATATATTCTAGCAAAAAATGGTATATATACCTTTGATTTGTCTCATATAATTCCCTAACCAGTTTTGCTTTCTGTTCTTTCAAACGTCCTAAATCATTTTTTATTTCTCCAATTAATCGATTTTTGTTGTCTACTTCATATTTAAATTCCACACGTTCTTTAGCAATCAAGATTTCCGCTTCGTGCAATTTATTTTTTTCTGAATTTACTTGAGCTTTTAAAACTACTAACTCACTAGTTAATTTATCACTAACATCATATTGAACAGATAATTCTTTCTTTAAACTTTTCAACTCAGCTAGAAGTTCTTCATGCATTTCATTACTGGATTTATCACTGCTAAATTCAACCTTCAATTCTTTTCCTGTTATCTTTTCATTTTGTGTAACTTTTTCAATTAAATTTCTTTTTAGCATATTCTCTTTATCCAAAGCATTTTCTAAACGCAACCTCATGGCTTCCATTATTGCAGCATCTTGCATTTGTATCTCGTTGTTCTTATTCATCTCTTGTTGTAATTCTTTATGTAAATTAGTATTGATTTCCTCTTCTTTTCTAAGTTTATCTTCTAAATTTTTTAATTCTAGCAATAAGGTCTGTTTACTAACCATAAGTTTAACATTACGTTTGACTTCTTCATCGAGCTTTGTTTGCAAAACTTCATTTTGGGATAATAAAGTTGTAAGTCTTTTATTAGTAGAAACTTGTTCATTATCATCTGATATAAAATCATCGTTCTCTATAACTTTTATAAGACTATTATCCAATTTTATAGACTCGTCCAATTCTCTCTGCACTTGTTTTTCTATATCATCTATTTGTTGTGGACTGGCATTGTTTTCTAATCTAGTTACAACTTTACGCAACTGTTCTACTTCCACAGCTAATAATTCATTCTTCTTTAATTCATTTTTCAATTTCATAGCCAAATCTAAAATATTACCCGACTCCTTTAATTTATTTTGTATTGTTGCTAGAGCCGCATGCAAGTTATCACTGTCTTTAGATATATGATCTATAATCTTTTCTTTCTCTTCTAAAAGCTCTTTAAAATGTAAAATTTGCTCATCGCGATCTTTCAATTCATTTTTGTAAACATTTTCTAAATCCTCATTTGCAAACTCAGGAGTATTTTGAAGATGTTTGAAATTGCTCAATTCATGTGTTAATTTGTCTATAAGGTTATTTTGTTCCTTTATTTTGCCTTGATGGTAACCAATTTCTTGATTCAATTCATTTAATAAATCTACTTTCTCTTTTATGGTCTCTTTCAACAGTTCAGTATAATCTCGCAAAGTAAGCAATTCTTGATCTTTTGCAAGCAAATCCTTTTGATGTTTTTCAATTTGTGTTTGTTTTTGAGACAAGTCTATTTGCAATGAGTCTATTTCGCAAATTTTATCCTTAAGGTTCTTGTTTTCTTGTAGAACTTGATCATAATTTTTATATTCTGCAGCTAGATCATCTAACATTTTTTGAATATCTTGCTTTTCTAATGCCAGGCTTCTCAACTCCTGATCTTTCTGCTTATTGCTTTCTATAAGATTATTATTCTCTTCATACTTTTTCATTAAATCTACTTGCATATTTTGCATTATCTTTTTATTCTCATTTTCGGATTGAATTATTTTTTCAAACTTAATCTTGTCGTCTTCAATAGTTTTTAATGTATCTTGCAAATTCTCTTGCAACTTTTGCATTTCTTCCTCCAAAAGTGGTATACAAGTCAATTGTTGCTTATAACTAGCTAACTCTTCAATTTTGTTTTCCAGTAAAATTTTCAGGTGCTCAATTTCATTCTGCAGTTGGAATTGTATAATATTTTTTTCAGAAATTGAACATTCTTCATTTTCTGGTATTAAATCTAATTTTTGTTGTAATACTGGGGAACCATCACCTTGACCAATAGATTTTTCATTGGCGGCCACGTCTGTTAAATTCTTGTTACAAGTTAAGGAACGAAATTGAATATCATCATTTGATATCATATTAAACTGATTAAAAGTAAAGGGAGGAGAATAATTCATATCGGGTTTTTGCATGCTGCCTATGAGGTCACCTTCAAACCTTGTATCATCTTTTCTCATAACATCTAATTCATCATAATCTGATATAGACACAATATCACTCAAAGTCCTCGCGCTCAATTTAGTACCATTTTGTTTGTCTTTCTTTTCTTTCAACATTTTAAGTTTTCTTATTTCCTCATCTGATAACTGCAGCTGTAAAAATATCTCTAACTCTTGAACAGTTCTGTCTAATCTTTCTTTTAATGCATTGATTTCAGCATCTTTTTCTTCTATTCTGATGTCTATAAAATCTCTTGCAGACTTTTCAACAATTTCTTCATTTTCCAATCTTTCCCGAAGTTGTCTGTTCTCTTCAAATAATACATGAACTTCTTCCGAGAGCTTTGTCATATCTCTACCTCTTGAATTATCAGGAGTTGTTTTTATTCTACTTTCTTCAACAATATGCTCTAAGTTTTGAATTCGGCGGTTTTTATTGATTAACTGTTCTTTGGTACTTGCCAAATCACTCTGCAAATTATGTATTTGTAAATGTAGGTCTGAAGTACTCTGTTTGTGAATGGAATCGGCTCTCCGCCTCTGATCATCTAAACGCGACTGTAATGAAGACAGATCTATGATCTGCTGCTGCGAGCGTTCGTGTAAAAGATCCCTTTCATTTTTTAGTTCCTGCATGAAGTAATAGCACAAAATTCAAATTAGTATATAATTAAATTAAAGTTGAAATAGTTAGAACAGGGAAATAGTCACAGATTAAATATATTATATAAATTATCAATTATAATTCAATCCAAATGTTTATATTTTGCATTATGAAACGAAAGTATTAAAAAGCATACTTTACTATACATTGCTTCAAATCTGTCTATCAAATGTTGTTCATACCTTTTCGACGGACTATTGTAAATCCATTAAATTTACTGAATTTCCTATACTGGACAGTTGTAAATAAAAGAGTTAATAAAATGTTGTTCATACATATAACACAACGAAAGGATGAAATTAATATTGAAATCAAGAAATTAGTCGATTGTTACACTTATGATAATTGATTATCACAATGTGTAGGTTTAAAAAAAGCTTTAGATAGAAGTATTTAATTTAATTAAACACAAAAAATAAAAACACGTCGAATAAAATTATATTCAAATAGAGACATCAAACCATTACGTGATGTGGTCCTAAAAATCATAGACAGCAAAATTCAAAAGAATAGTAAAAATAACGATTAAAACTCTCTGGCTAGAAAAACGCGCTATTCAAAACATGAATTAAAAAAACGTGTTAACAATTGTGCGTTACAAATTTAAGTAAAGTTGACGGTAAAAGTAATAAACAAGTAAAATAACAAGCATTTAATACTCTTACCGAGCATGTATGTTTCAAAGCTGCTATCTGCATTTCTAGATCCCTTATTTGTTTTAAAACCGCTTCTTCCACTCTCCAGTGTCTAGTTAATTTCTCTTGGATATGTTGTAAATGATCCAAAATATCAACTGGACTGCTCTCATTCAAAGAACTCTCATCATTTAGATTGAAGTTATTTTTTCTACCCAATTTTCGATCTCCCATGGATACATCTTCAGAACTGCAACTGGTGGAATAGACTGCTGCATGTAAAGCTTCTAATTGCTTTGTTTTCAAATCTATGCATGACCCAATATCATCAAGCTGGCCAAGAAAGGTTCGAATTAGTTAAGTTAATGCGTAACATGCAAATATAAAAAATAGAAACTAAATTTTAAAATAATTTTCCCAAGAATTTAAGAACAAAACTAAACATTGTAGTCAAAACAAAATTCTATGCGCATCTATTGAAAAAGTAGTATGCGCTTAAACCCTTGTGTAGCTTATTATTAGGTAAAATTAGAATCATATTTTTGATTTATAAAATATCTTTTAAATTTTGGACCAATATATCTAAATTAATTAAGTAATGGCATGTATTACGAAAATATATGTCACCTGTTTTTTCACCTCGAGAATGGCCGTGGTGTTTTCTGTAGTCTGTCTATGATTATGTAACTGATCTTCTAAGTTAGAAATTTTCTCATTCAATGTCTGAACATCAGATTGGTGTTGCGCGTAGTAAATTCCTTGGCAAGCGACTCGTACTTTTTGTTCTGTTCTTCATTCACGTTATGCAGATCTGATATTTGTTTTTCATGATTTTTTTCGTTTAAAGATTTAGCTTCCAATTGGTTTTCTAGTTCCCGAATGATGTCACTCAAATTTATCATTTGATCGTTCAAGTATTATATAAGCAAATATTTTCTGAAAACGATACACAGAAATAGGACAAACTACTTGTTCGCAAAGTTATTAATATGTGAATTATATTCATGCCGTTGCTTCAGTTTAAAAAAATTACACTATCTTACAAAAATATTAATAATGGAGATAATGATTAGTTTTAATATAAGTAAATCTGATATTTTTTCCAGAAATAATTGAAACTTTTGATTATAGCTCAGACTCTGTTGAATGCTTATATAATACTTGAGGATTTATTGTCTTATAGTTTAAAAAAAGTGGATGAAATTGATAATATCATTAACATGTTGAGTCCGGCCGCGAATTTGCTGACCTTTCCGCTCTGCCGGCAGTGACGAATGGTAAGCAAAATTTACCACGTACCACATTTTTGATTAAAATGTTTCAATAAATTTCATTAAAATTATATTTATCCACATTTCATTAAGACTAATTTTACATTTTAACTTTAATACTGTCGATCAAACTGCCAAGTTAAAACAGATTTTAGTGCTGGTACTCGGGCCCAATGCCGGTCAGTTGACTGTCGGTCCCAAGGAACCGACGTCGACCAAACGGAAAGTTGATTGTCGGTCCTTGCGACCGACTCCAGGCTCAAATTGTTAAAGGTATCAAGTATCAATTAATTATAACATATCATAATATGATAAACGTTAATTGCAAACAGTCAGAACCACAAACATATTTTCGGCTATCAGAAAACCGTTTGGTTAGGTTTTTTTCCTCGTTATTTATTTGATAACTAAAGTTTCTAATAGTAATCACTATTCAAAATTGTAATAGAAAGGCTTATAAAATTTTAAATTAATTTATTTTGCCTTCTGTCGCCACTGGCGGTAAAACAAACAACAACTATTATTATTGAAATTAATAGATCAATGTATGATTGCAAAGAATATAAATCAAGCTAGGTAATTATATGTAAATATCATCAAATATTATCTGCAAATAATAATAATATGTATTTGATAAGTAAATATTAAAATATGAATATTATCATTTATTTAAAGACTTCAAAAATTTAATCGTGTTCTGATTTTGCAAAAAGTATATTTTGAAGTGTAACTTCCATAGCTTTTAAATGATCGGTTACTTAAGTTACGCGTATACTCATAGTCGATATATTACTCCGATCCAAAATAAAACAAATTAAAATAGAAGTTTCACTTCAATCTAAATTACATATTGTCCCCATCCACTACAACTACATAATGTTAGAACTAATAATCATCTACAATAAAATTAAGGGTGAAAACTCACTTTTCTTTCAACTACATTGTGATCCTGCTAATAGAGAGAGGTGACAATTTTAGAACAGGTGTGCAGCAAAATGTTTTAGAAATTAGATTTTCATTTTGATAGAGAAAGTGCCCCCAACGTAGAAATCATATGTGAATCAGGTGCGAAGAGTATACAAAAATAAAATTAATTTTACATTAGTGACAATATACAATTTTTTGCTAATGACTTTTTCATAATGTGTGTACATATTTTTATAAAATAATTTAAATTTATTAAATCGTTCTTTGTAGATCTTTCATCTCACATCAGAAAAAAGTCATATTTGGCAAGATAATTAACTAATTGTGCTTCGAACAGTGCAGGTTATTAAAAACTACATAAAAGCATGAAAATGTTGTGACACTTTGTGAATCACTTGAAATTTTATCGCACCAATCGGCAGTAATATCTCCAATATAGTTTAGCTTGGCAGCACATATTATTGCCGGATGGAGTGATATGAGGCTAATAGTTATAGCATATACAAACTATTCAATTCTTTTCCGAGCAAGTTTTCGAAATCAAAATAATATACACAATCACAAATTTTATCAAATCGCAACGTCGAACTGCTTAAATTATTTATTTTATAAAAAACAGCATTGTTAAATAATATTCAAGATAAAATAAATAAATCGTCATTTATTAGTTAAACGCAATTACTTTCAACATATTGACACAAATATTTGATACTAATTGTTTTTAAAAGTCGCAACATTTTTAAATATATTAAATAGCAATTCTGAAAAACTACATCAGAGAAAAATGATTTATAAGCGCTTATACCAATTTCATTTTAAACATAAAATATGTACTTACACGAAGATATAAGTAAAACATTTATTTAACAATGAAGCCAATTTAAAACCGAAACCAAATATATTGGAATAATACTAATAACTTAAGTTTATATAATATATTGTTGCTTTTCCATACCTCCTTAAGTGCTGTTCCATGTACATGCCTCTCTTTATCGCGATCTTTAAGCTTGGCCTTCAGTTCACTAATTTCACGGGTAAAATCATCTCTTTCCTGCTCTCGTTCAGCTGCTTGGTCTTCTAGAAATTGGCGCGTTGAGCGCAACTGTTTGTCTGCTGCTTCAATCTTAAAAGCATACCATAAAATGTTATCCCGAGAATTTACTTAATATAATAATAAATTACTTTTGAAAATATAAATCTTTATCAATGTCGCTGAGACACCAATGTATAACGCTTCATAGTATGAGGAATTTTTTGTTACACAAAACATGCTAAATAACCACAAAATACCAATAAGTTTTAGTAAAAAGCCCTTGCGTGCAGAATACTGAATAAAAAAACTGTATTCACCTGCAACTGCAAGTCTTCCCTATCCTGCGTGGATTCCTCATACATACGATCTCCTTCACGGCAAAGATCCTCGAACAGTTGTAGTAGCGGTGTATTTACCATATCTGTAAATAAGTTTATTTTGTATTCAATTTTATAAAATTAATTCGGTATTTAATTATTTCAGGGACATAAATTGCGTAGAAACGGTAACATTTCAAAAAAAAAAAAACGGTTTGAGCAATATAGAAAAAAGATCAGAAAGCACGTATTTTGATAAAAAATTAACAGTAAGTTTTGTAAATGGACATCGTTGAAAATATTAACACAAATGAAAGTAAGTCGATCGTTTTATTTATGCCCACTATCAAAAATTTTTAATCTGTATTGGAGTGGATACATTATGAATGCGTACTATGTAATAAAACTTATAAGGTAGTCGCCGTGAATCTGGTTTAGCAATTACCAATATGACTTACAGACAATGTGTTTTACCAGAAACAAGACCAGCATATTCTACCACAAAAAAACTTTTTTCTTTAATTTTGACGTCTTTCTCAAATAATTTGTTTTAATTAAATCCGTTCTTCATTCAACTCAGTCCCACACAAAAAACCCATAAAATTCGTGAGAAATACACACACACATATAAATGTATATGTATAATATAGTTTAAGTTTTCCAGGTTCGGAAAAATTTAGTTCAGAAAAATAATATCATATATATATATATATATATATATATATATATATATATATAAATTATCATACACACATATATGTTGTATATGCGTTTATTAACCTGAAGATTCTTTCATTGGCGAACTCAATAACAACGTTGCTCTTTGCCGTAACTCTGCAAATGTTGATTGTTTAACAAGAAGATTACGAATAGGTGAATGTCCTCCATACCTAAAATAATCAAATAACTAGAAAAAGGATCATACCCATATTAAAGTTTAAACTTCAAGCTAAATTAGATATATTGTTAAAACACTTGGTCATATTCCAATTTTAAATTTATGACTTAACTATTAAAGGGTATTATTACTATAGGAGAATACACTATAAATCTCACGGTTATTTTTCCTCTAATTCATGTTCATCACGAATAAGAATATTAAATTATACCGGACAAAGATAGAATCGTATTCACTAGCAGCATCCGAGATATAATAACACATAAAAATAATAACAGATGTTAAATAATAAAGAAACTAATACCGCAATAACAAAAAATCCAAATAACTATACCCTTCAGATATAATTTCATTTTTGCTGGTTGCCGTTGCAAGTTGCACTTTCAAATCATCACGTTCTCCTTGGACCTCGATCAATTTAGCGATTATCTCCTGTTTCTCCTTTTCAAGTTCCTCTACATGAGATAAAATGCCATCCAAATTTTTCAAATGCATAATTTTCTCATCGTTAATATTACAAGAAATATTATGATCAACTGCTTTGGTAGTGTTTGTCAACTGTAGTAAAGCAGATGCTTCCGATTTTAGACGATCTAAACAATTGTTGAGCTCCGTTTTCAAATCAACAGTCACGCTTTTTTCAAGCTCCAAATTTTGAAGAATTGAATCATCTTTTAATTGATCCAGAAATTGGCTAATGTCAGGAGCAAAATGAACATGTCTTTCACCAACTTTTGTAATACAAGATTGATTTAAATCAGACGATATTGTAGCATTTTGGATAGATTCATCAACTCTATAAATAACGTATTTTTATTTATATACAATAATTGATTAATTATCTGTATAAACCAGTTTAAATTAATTGTAATTAATATAAAAAATATTTATTTAGATTAATTTTAATTATAATTATACATACGTGTTGTCACAGATTTGTTCCAAATTTTCCAATTTGCTCCAAAATGCATTATTAATTTCAGTTTCGCAATCGCTGACATAGCTTATCAATTCAGTTATTAATAAGTGCAACGTACGATTAACCTTCCGTAAGCTATTTCTATACAACATACAGCAAACATTAAGAAATAAAAATAACAATTATCAATTACTGAAAACATTTTTTACTAACCTTTCCTTAAACACTTCCCCTAAGTCCCTATTTTTATCAAATGTTGTATTTCTTTGCAATTTTCTATTGAGTTGTTTTTCATGATCATTCCTCAATTTTAGTATCTGCAAATGTATCATATAAATGCATGCAAATTAACTTTTACAAAAAGTTAATTAGCAAATACAGCGATATATTTAAACCTAGTTTGAAAACTATACCTCATTCTGGTGAGATGTTTTAAGTTTCATGATTTCTATCTGCGGGTCCTCAGATTTTTTATCTTTTATTTGCGTCATCTCATCGACTACCTGTGCTTCATTTCCCGATGACAAATTCTGTTGTAACGTCTAAATAAAACATAACAAAATCACGCATTTACATAAACTCTCACAATAAATATAAAACTAGTAATTTCAAATAGTATAGCAAAAATAAAAATTAGCCAGGTTTATAATTTACTTGTTATAAATAGTTTAATTGAGCTTCAAAATAATAATGTTTAAGCAATTATTTTTTAAAAATTTAATCAACCTTAATAGATAATTACGTAAATGGATTCAAACATATTAGACTTATTTAATAATCTACTCTTACAAAACTATTTAGTATTTTCCAAATTACATACTCATATCAATTTTATAGGAAATTTTAATTGATTTAATTTGCCCTCGTCACGATATTAATTAACACACATTTAAACACACGCACACACACACACATATATATATATATATATATATATATATATATATATATCTATATGCCATACAAGCAAAATTCGAGATAGGCGCGAGTGAGAGGCATAATGTTAACTAATGAGGGTGCGGATGAAACATGCTCATCTAATATCTATTGAAACAAGGATTTTCGTATGTGAAGTCGCCTTCAACTATCATACAAATATTTAAATTAAATGATTTTAAAGATAAAAATTTGAATTCATTAATATTAATGTTGCGCATTTCGTTGAAAAGTTTGTGGATAAAAATCACCCCGAAAAAGATACAACTGGTCGAGCATCAGAATTGTGTCGAAACATGTCAAACTCATTTTCGCAATACTATAATCAGTTGAAGAAAAAAAATGCTCATTAGATAGTTTTTTTTTAAACCCAATAACTATTATTATAATAATATGGTCATTTTTTACTTAGTAATTTGATATTTTTCTGCAGAAAATGCATTTGATCTTAGCAGTTTCATTTATTTTTATTTTCAAAACAAATACTGTGCTGAAACGAATTAATGGCATTTCAATGTATTTATATGAAGAATATTGCTTCGTTATACGAGCAATTCGACATGCGTAGTAACGAAATGAATTAAGCTCGTAATGCGGGGTACCACTGTATATTCGGCAGGTCCCTGGTGCTGCCTTTTGTTTCTTTATTTGCTCAAATTGTGCGTAAAAAATATAAAAATGGAAAAAACTCTTAAGATGGCCAAGAGTTAACACATTAACAAAAAAAGATATAATCAAAATAGTTTTTGAAATCTTCGAATTGCACAGAAAAGTTGCTAAAGATGTTAACATATCGGACGTTTCGTATGTTTCGTACCGTGAATTCATATTTTTGGGCATGCATAATAGGTATGCCAACATAGTCTATTGCAAAACTTCTGAATTTTGATTGTTTAACGCTTCAGCGTTAATATGGTCCTTAATCAGATCAGAACTCCTGAACTTCTCAAAAGTGTTATAGCGTAATAAACTATGAGTATATGGTTAGGAGGGTTAGGACTTCGATAGCACGATCATCAATTAATTTACTATACTTATAAAAAATAATAAAAATCGCCGAATACATTGAAATAATCTAATTGTAATGACAATATCTACTCAAAAATGTCAATATGTGATTAACACATATGCAACAAAACTACAACTTAAAATTGATAATTTAAATTACTATATATGCTAATTTTAAAACCTTCAATTTATGTTTTAAACATATTTGTACGCACACACACAGATATATACAGGGCCGGATTTAGAAATTTGACGCCCTGGGGCACTGACAAAAATGCCGCCCCTTCCCTAAATTTTTACTTAAAATAGTTTTTATATATATCATTTTTCAAAAATTAAAATAACTATTTGATTGCAGAAAATTTATTACGCATTACATAGTGTAAATAGTGGTGCTTGGCATCGTGCCTCAAGATAAATTGCTGAAACCGTACCAAAAATTAGAATTTAAAAAAAAAAATTAAAGCGTACGGCCTGCTTTAGCTGCGTACAGGCAAAATAAAGAAGCGCGTAAGCGCCGCCTCGCAGAATAACAGATAAATAACTTTACAGAACCCATAGAAATGTAAACAAAATTTATATTATTAAAATATCTGATAATTTGATGTGCATATGGCTAATGATCATTTTTGACCGCCAAATGTTTCTCTTTCAAATTTTTTTATTGGATCACTGAAACCGCTACACCTGCCTCCCACAAATTTAATCAGTCCTCCATTTTGTCTATATATGTAAATTTCTTTTAATGATATTGGACGTTTCGTTTCTCAAAAAATGAATTATTATTTTTGGCATTTTGGCCCGTATTTCCGAAACAGTTGGACCCGTCTTCGCCAATAACTAATCGCACGTCTCGCTATCAATAGAAATCAAATTATTCAAATAAAATTTAATTTTAATAAGTTTAATAAATGAAACTTAATAATTTTCAAAAAATTTCGGAATATAAAAAAAAAAGTTTTTTTAAATTCAATTTTTATCATTTTTCAAAAATTTTTAAAGCTTTTTATAAAATGTAATTTTCAGTACGGAAAGTTTCAGTAACTTGCCCTAAAGCACAATGCCATTATGGGTCACTAATTTAATTTTTTTCGGCGCTTTGAGCTTGGAAGTGCACAAATTCGTCATCTTAAGAGGGCTCGAGATCTGATTTTATTTTTCTTAAACTTTCAACTCACTTACGAATCTTTATATTAGACTTATTAGATTATATTAGAATTATTTCAAATTGCCAAATTTTGCATTGCATTCGTATAATGTTTTGTTAATTGTATTTCTTGAAATTAAAAATGTTATTAAAAAAATGAGTTAATTATATGGTAAAGAATTTTCTTCTCACTATCCAAATTTTGCCGCCCCCGAAAATTTGCCGCCCTGGGCAGTAGCCCCGACTGCCCCTACTGTAAATCCAGCACTGGATATATATATATATATATATATATATATATATATATATATATATATATATTGTGTTAAGCTTCGAACAAGGTCGCAGTAAGTATTTTTAAGGATTTTCATTACTTATTGGATTCCTTGTTCGAAACTCGACATAACACATACAAATGCAATACTCAACTATCTTATGTATGAAATATTATATATTAAAGAGCAGAAATTGTAAAATTCATTTCATGGCGGCCTTGGTAAATCTATATATCACAAAAAGTGCGAAACTATTTTGGTAACAGTAAGTAACAAAAAAGATAGATTTGCGCGGTTGCACTGGAGACAAGTTAACTCTTGCATTCTTGTCCTTTTGTACCGCGATCAAATACTTCATGTCTTTTCTAAAAGTTCGATACTAAAAAGCAGAGACTTACTGAAATTTCCATGAAACTCTCCAGCTTTCTTTTGTATTAAGAACATATTATTTTATTATTCTTAAAGTATAGTATCTAATCAATCAAAGTTATTAAATGCGCAAGACTAAAAAGTTAGTTTAGTTCAAAGCATTGATGCATTTTTTTCTTAGCAGTACAAATATTGGTTTGACATTTTATTCTTCAGGTATATTCAATTAATGAATATATCTCAAGAACAACGTTCGAATTTTATTTTTGTATGCTTGTAGACAGAGTTGACATAAAAAAGTTCTAGTCAAGGTTGATCCATTTTCATATTACAAAACAAAGGACTGTAGTTTATTTATAAAATAATTTAATAATGTAAATAATTTTATATATATATATATATATATATATATATATGCATAATGTTGTTCTGTGAAATACGAAAAACTTCAAGTAGATTCGTTTACTGTTGTAGTTAGTACATCTCTTCCTCTCTAACTTCGTATGTGTTATTCATATGTTCATCATAAATAAGATTTTATAAATAATTAACAAATAATATATTTAAATAAATCGATATTTCAAGCAGTTAAAGTTTTAAAATAAAATCATTAATTTCAATTTCGATTTTTTTTTTGTTGAAAATTTAGAACAGTTTTCATTAAAACATTTTGGAAAATTGAAATAGTATTTAATTTAATACATTTACCAGTTTATTTTACAAAGAAACGACACGAAAGATTCATCAAGGCGGGTCAACTCAATAATAAGATTTTTTCAAATTAGGCAAAACACACGAACACATAAATACTTCTTTCAAATTTCGTGTCAAATAAAAAAAAGTAAAATAAACGATTAAGATTTTGGCAAAAATATTAAAAACATGTATCTATATGATAACAATTTTATATTTATCTTGAAACACACACACATATTATTATTATTATTCAACTTTTAATTTAATGTAACAGTGTTCATTGATCATCACAATACACTTACACTTTTCTTTTTATGAACAGATTTACCAGTCATAAACAGAACGCAATATCATGATATATTACAAAAAATGTATTAAATGCAGTTTTGCACGTGTACTTGTAGATGAACAAACTCACGAACTCTCAAATATAAACACATATGCGAAGAATGAAACACATGTTCAAAACAATTGATAGATTCAAACATACTTGATTGTATACCGCTTTTATAATATTAACATAAAAAGTAATTGAGTTTTTAAATTAATTACTATAACTATATTCTCCTCAATAAAAGTTTTTTGCACACTATGGTAATTTAAATAATTGTAATTTAACACAGAAATATTGGTTTTATATGCAGAATTATATCAACAGAGGATTCAGTGTTTGTTACTGGAGATGCAACACATCACATTATGTTGCCCTAGCGCTAAGACACACAACTGTCTCTAATATTAGAATCATTCACGTCTATTAATAGTGCCGTCTCAAAACTCACATATCTCTATAGTACTAGGGATAGATTAATAAATCATTCGGCTACTGCCACAAATTAATAAACAATCCTTAGTAGCATGTTCAAGCATCTAAAATTAATGCATTTTTTCTATGACACAATATCATCACTATGTATATAGCGAAATTAACAAACTGACAGAGTAAGCACCGAAAATCAAAAAGTAAGCTTTATTTGAATTCATTTATTTACTGAGTCACCGAAATATCGTAGCATCCGTCAAAGCACGTTAACTTTTTATAAATATATAGAGAAGATACTGTTTCAAAAAACTTTTCATAGAAACTTGTCGACAAAACGTTTACATATTT